GTAATGAGGACATCTTTTTTCGCTTAAAGACCTGCAAGAGAAGAAAAACATCTCCATGTTTCCGAAGAATTAATAATTGGCGATGTAAAAATATCTCTCACACCAATTATCCATTTATATCACCCTATTATTCTCTTCCGTTTTGTTCCACTGGAGAATATCGACTGCTGAATTTAAATTAACTTGAATTTTTTTCTATTTGGTGTAAGTTGAAGAGAACTTTAGCAGAGTAAGAAACGGTCAGCGGTTCAGTAACAAACACACAAACCAAAAAATAAACATGAATATTTATCAGGGGAAACATTTTTGACAGCTTCTCTAGTTTTGATTTTCTCGTGGTTCTTTTTACATTTGGTTGCATCAGGTCTCAACAGACATGAAGAGATGGGGTGATGACCAGCTGTGGTGGTCAGTTTCCTGATCAGCTCTTCACAAACAGCCAACACGATTCTGTTTTAGGAATTTACGTCACTGTGTCCTTTTACATTCACTTTACCAGAGCTGAGTGGCTATTACCAACTTCCCAAATCCTCAAAGATGATTTGTCAAGATCAGGAGATCAGCAAAAACCCACGAGCACGTGTTGTGCTACCTGATGCTGCCCCCTTCTGGAGGAAATCTGTCATAACAACCCAAAGCCTCCCTGTTTGGAATCGTTCTGTGCCAAAGTTTGAAAAATCAATCTTCATTTAGACAAATTAAGCTTTAGAAAAACACAAAAATGAAAACCAGCAGCCATCATAATCGACCACCGGCATCAATTAATTTCATTAAGCACCTTAGTTCCCAGCAACTTCTCTCACAATCACAGATCATGCTCTGGTCAAATTATGATTCTAAAACCTCTTTAATTTTATGAAATGATGCCTTGCAAAAATAATAGCATTGTCATAAACAAATTTTCCCCACGTTCTCTTCGTGGATTTGATAAGACGGATGCTGAAATAATCAGAATGAATGGACCCAGAAGAGAAACTATTCCAAGAAGTATGAAAAATGTAAAGGCAAATAGATGGTAATCAAAAAGTAAATCAAATTACATAAGCTAAACAACAATATATGTCAAGTAAAGACACAAAGTCAGCCTCTAACCTTTACACAAAAAAGACTTAAAGGTGTGACAGGAGTGAAACAATCAAACCTGCCTTCTTTCTACAAGACGTAATCCCCCTTTCAAGTCTTAAGATTTATCTGCTTCCTGTGGTTTTTCTCCTCAGGGGAGCAGAATGAAGCAAAATCAGGGAAAATTCAGCTCATCGGATTTGATTCTGTCTCCACAGAAAGCATCATGTGACCATGGTGGATTTTTTCTTTTTTTTTAACCTTTCGACAGATCAGCATTCTCTCTCTGTGGAGGAAACAAATAGGTGTCATCTCTGAAAATCGTGGGGGACCAGTTTATTTTCCTTCTCATGGACTGAGACCTCTCATCTCATCCCATCCTCCAGCTGTCTTTATGTTCTTCAGCCCATTTTGTTACATCTGGAATAAGTCAAACTCGACCCGTATCATTAAATCATGAGTGAATATTAGCATCACTGTGTATCTTAAAGGGATTCTGAATGTAATATTAAGCAAACGTGTAGCATTAGATGGCCTTTTGGTCAGAAGTCCAGCCCATAAGCTGCACTCTTTGTGTTTGTTTCCCTGTCTGCAGTCCGGCCAGTGACCTGCAGCCTGTGAGCGTCTGGTCACCGGGGGTCATCACTCACGATGTCACAGCTCCTGGAAGTTCACAGGTCAGACCCTGACCTCACAGGAAACCTGGGAGACAGACGCTCACTCAGGGCCAGACCAACGGCAGGGCGGCCGGAGGTGAGCAGACTGACCGTGAGCTCGGCCCACGCCCGGAGGCAGAAAACCTCCTCAAGTGTGTGTGGACGCAGCTGCACGTGAAGCCCCGCAATACGAAAAGATTCCCTCTATCCGAATAATGTTAACCTTAAAATTTGTTCAAATACATTCTAGTAAATAGCTTCACTATCAAACCGCCTGCCTTTCGGTTTATAAAACAAGGATTCAACTTCAGAGCTCCAACAACACTTTTTATTGGGGAAACTGCGACAGAGCAGAGTGTATTCTTTATATTAAGTAGGCACTTTCCATTCACACAAGTAAAACAATGTGGAAAAATAAGAATAATCACACCTTCCTCATCGTTATGCTCACGGGTGTTTGTACATGAGGAAAAAAAAACAACTCTGGGCTGCGTTTGCGTTTCTTACAAGTCTGCAGGAAGGAAAACACTGAGTGCCCTTTGACCCCAGACCAGGGCCAAGTGTGTGTGTGTGTGTGTGTGTGTGTGTGTGTGTTGGGGTGGGGGTCAGCCGCACAGCTGTGGAATCCAGACTCTGCCTCCGAATATGTACCAGAAAAACATGTTTCCAAAGAAAAGGGAAGGAGCAGATAAATAAATAAATATATCTCTGCCTCTGTTTCATAAAGCATCAATGTATCTG